CAATCAGGGATTGTAGGTTATACCTGCATAGGGCACGGTTGTGCTCACCTCTGCCTACACCTCTGGGCCCTGCAGGCTCCCTGCCCTCTGAGAAGCCCCAGCCTTCCCCATCTCTGCCTCCCAGCTCTGAGCTCAGATCCGTGCTGTCCAGTACAGCATCCATCAGTCACCTGTGACAATGGGCACTAGAAATGTGGCTCATCCGAATCGAGGTATGCTGTAAGTGTAAAATACACACTGGATATTGCAGACTTAGAAAAAAAGAAAGTAAAATATCTCACTAATATTTTTCTATTGATTACAAATGGAAAAATAATATTTTAGATACATTGAGTTAAACAAAATATACTATTAAAATGAAGCCCACCTGTTTCTTTTTCTAACGTGGCTACAAGAAATGTTTAAATTATACACGCAGCTCTCATTTTGTTTCTTTTGGAAAACGTGCCACTAGATGAAGGACCCAGGTCTTCCCTCAAGTCCAGAGGCACTCCCCCAGAGATGTTTGTTCTCTGATGGGAAGGTGACCTCTCGGATTGGAGCAGAGGAAGTCATGGCTGGGCATGCCTCTCACCAGGAGTGACCACAGAATACCTCTGGAGGGAGTGGCCCCAATCCTGTAAGTCTGAGCTTCAAATAGCAAAAGGCAGATTCAAAAAGACTATCACCGTGTGGTACCCAGCCTTCCCCAAAGACTGGAGGGTCACACATCAGCCTTGGCCCAATCTGATCTCCTGCTCGCCTCCCCCTGGCCTCCCACCTCTCAACCTCCCATCCACCCACCCCTGCATGCCCCACTGGCCGTGACACCCCCTCCTCAAACAGCACAGCAGCTTCATGGTGTCTACAAATGAAGTACAGTCACCTTGGTCCCATAGATGGGGCTGTACACACTCTCACCCCAACCACCTGTCCTCCCCTCCATGGACCCCATTCTCCTGCCAGGCTAGTTAGTGGCCAGTCACCTCCTACTGTCCTCATCTCTAGCCCCCAGCTCTGCTTTTCCCTCAGGCTGGAATGTCCTCTTCCCACTGCCTCCCTCTTGTCTACATGACAAAATTCCAAACGTTTCAACCTAAATCCCTCTCCCACAGGGCACCTGCCTTAGTCCATCCAGGCTCCAGACACATGGGGAGAGCAGACAGGGGCTGGGTGGGCCTCTAGGCCAGGTGCACTTCTTCCCACCCCTCCCCCACCTCTCCTGGGTTGGGGAGCCCCAAGCTATACCTATGAGATAGCTTGAGTCATTTTGCCCCTGGCAGGTATTTGCCCCCTCGATTTACCCCCACTCCACAATGGACTGTTGTCTTAGAGACCTCTGCTCACCCACTAAGCGGTCCACCGCCTCCGAAAACCCACTAAGTTAATGTTTGATGAACACATGGACCCCATAATGGCTGACAGGAGGGTGTCAATGGTCAGTCCTTAGGGACGCAACATCACCTTAGCCGGCCTGGGCACCTCGAAGTGCTGGGGCTCTTCTCTCCCCCAAAACCCGGCTCATCCAGGCTCAGGCAGCCTCGCGCGGGCACACACGCACACACCCCAGACCTGAGAGCTCCCCGCTGCCAGGCCAGCAGCCCACCAACCGAGCCGATTTCGGGGAGGGGAGGGACTCTGGCTGCTCGAGGATCCACTGCCCATCCAGTGAGTGGCCTCGGCTTTGCCGTCGGGTTTCCCTCCCGCCCTGCTCCCGAGCCAAACCCTGAACAGAGGCGTCGAGGGAAAAGGCCGCCCCTCCATCTTGCCTCCCCTGGTGCGGGCACCGAGGTCTCCCTCCTGCTCCTCCCTCCCCGCAGATTCCGCGCGGGCCCCTCCGGGGGGCGCCCCGCCCCCTCCCCTCGGCAGGAGTCTCTTACACTCGGGCTGTGAAGTTCGGGGTATTTTTAGGCCGGCGATAAATAATTCATAGGGAACGTGGCATCAGGCTCCCCCCGCAGGAGGAGGGGGCGCGAGCGGCGAGAGCCACCGTCACCCACGGCTCAAGGACACTCGCGATGCGGCGGCGGCAGCAGTGACAGCGGCGGCGACTCCCGGCGCCGGGACCCGCGCCACGCCTCCTGGCGGCCAAACTGGGCACCAAGCACTCGGCGCCCCCCACCTCGCCGCTACCTTCTGCGAGCGTCACCAGCTCCTAGGTTCCCACCTCCACTCCCCCAAGTTGGGTGGTCACCCCAAGCCCGGAGGTTGAGGAGGGGCGGAGCTCGACTGACAGGCGGGGCTGTGGGCGGGGTACAGCCCAGGCCTGCCCTAGGGCCTGGAGTGAACCCAGGAGTCTGAGGGACAGGTCCCCTCCCCTGAGGGACACTTCTGGCGGACAGGTCCCCTTCGCTTTCCTATCCAGATTCTTAGTACGGAGTTTAGAAACAGACTCGAAACTGACTGGCTCCGAGACAGAGCAGACGAGCCCCAAATAAATTCCTTTCCTTGATTTTCCCATGGCTCCAGGTTGGGGACAGAGCCAAGGCGGTGCCACCATCGGAAGGCTGGGGAACCGAGCCAGAGGTCCCGTCGGGCGAGCAGGGCTGGAAACCAGGGCGGATCACTGGGGCGAGCGCAGGGCCCGGCGGCAGTTCCCGCTTCGTTCACCCGGTAGAGGCAGGACCTTGGGTTGAGTCGGGGACTCACCCTTGGGCATTTTCTGGCTGCCGGGTGCCTCTGCCATCGCACGTCCCTGGCCCTGTCCGCCTTGGCCTAGGCACAACCCGCCCTCCGCAGCAGGGGGCTCGGGCTTCCCTTCCTCGCCGTCGGGTTCACAGTCGAAGCCCCCGAAGACTAGAGCAGCCCCTTGCGGCAGCGGCCAGGGCCCAGCACCCTGGGGCTCTCGACTCTCCCCGGGCCCTCTCCACCCACCCTTCCTTTCTCGTCCGCGGAGCTTGGGTCCTCCGGGCGCGGGGTCAGAATTTGGGGAGATGCCACCACCCCACGAAGCCCGAGCTGATTCCCTGGGGTCAAAGGAGGGAGTGTCCTGCCGGGCGGAGGAGGGCTGGGAGGGGAGCGCCTGGGGGACTCACAGCGGGCGAAGGGGCGGGGGTGGGGGGGGCGCGAGGACAGACGCGCGCGGTAGGTGCGGTAGGTGCTCGGCGCGCAGTAGGTGCTCGGCGTACCTCCGGGAGCGGGCTCCCGAAGCCACCCACAGTCCCCTTCGTCCTCCCTGCTTTCTACCCGCTCCAGCCCCCTCTGTTCTGGCCGTACCCAGCCGTGGCCCCGGCTCCCGGATCCGCTCCCCGTCCCAGTGGCTTCCAGCAGCAACAGTTGAGGGGTCCCGCGGCCCAGACTCCCTTGCCTCTGCACCGCCCCCTCCCCCCGCACTGCCGAGGCGCCAGGCGAAGGAACTGGAGGGCTCGGTGACCCAGGAGACCAACATCTTGAGCGCGTCGCCCGCGTCCTTCTCTCGCGTCCGCCGCGCGCCTGTCATCTCGGCCTCTCTTCCTCTCCTCCTTGCCGCCCGACCGGGTCCAAACCCCAGGCCGGGTCCCCGAGGGTCCCGGTTCTCTGGTGGCCCCCTCCTCGGGCTCCTTACGCCGGCCCGAGTCTCCCCAGGTGTCCCGCGTCCGTCTCCACTGTCCTTGCCCGCGTGGCGCCAGAGAATAGCCCCAAGTTGGCGAAGT